AAGCAAGACAGGGCCAGCGATCAAGTCCAAGCAAGCAAGGACAAGCAAGAGCAAGCAAGCGAGAGCAAACACGCAAGAGCAAGCAAGCAAGTGCCATTGGACAAAACGGGGGGATGCCATTGGACAAGGGGGGGGGGCTGGAAAAAGGAGGGGTGGCCCCGAAAACCAATTGCTTATGATGAGCCGGGAATCCTATAGGGCAAGCCTGTTTGAAGAAACGCACCGAGCTGGTGGGGACGCGCGAGCCCCCTCCCCCCGCCACCAATCAGAGCTAGCTCATCGGCTAGCAATCCAAACCCTTCATAGCTTGGAACACGGCTCAGGGCCCGCGGAAGGGCCCGCCGTACTCTTGACGCTTCGCGCATCCCCGCCAGCCCACCCCGAAGCGATGGCCGGGCGAGCTGCCAGGAGGAAGGGAATCGATCAACACGCAATGAAGCACACAGGTCAACGATGATGGATGTAACACATATCGGGGGGCCTCTTGGAGGCTTCTTGGAGCCATGTTCGAGTTTTTTGTCGTGGCACTTTTTGGGAGCCTGTGGGTCTCTCTTGGGGGGTCCTCTTCGAGGCCTTGTGGGCCGCCCGTAGGGCCATCTTGGCGGGAACATCGCAAAACGAGGCTCGGAATTAAGTAGGGCTCCCACGTCGGATCCTGGCACATCGTCTCTTGGGGGCCTCTTGGGGCGCTGCTGTGGGTCTTCGGGGCCGTTTTGGAACCATCATGGGCGCCTCTCTAGGGGAGGAAGCAGAAAGGCAACCATGCAATTATCATTGGACAGCATTCGGTTTCGACAGATTTTGGCGTCTCGGGGGTATCCGTCGGAGGCTCACTGGCCACTTGGAGCCGTCCTGGGGCAGTTGTGAAGGCTCCACGAAGCGTTGTGGAGGATGTATTCAACCATCTTGGGCTCTTTTGTGCCATGTTGAAGAACATCTAGGAATATCTGGGATTATCTTGGACCCATGTTTGACCATCTTGGACCCCCGAGTGGGTCGCGGTGGGGTGTCCAGGGGGGGAGTTTGCGGAGAGGTAAACTCCTCCCCGAAGGGGAAGAAGGGGGATGGAATCACGAACTCGCCAAACCACATACGATCATCACTACTGTTGTTATTCTTATCAGGCGTGCCACGATCATCTTTGTATTCTCCAAATTCTGTGCGCTTGCACTTAAGGCTTTTCATCTCTGTTCTAAGGAACTGGGCTGGTGTGGCAGTCTGGCAGCTATGTTGTCGCCGCCGCCGCCCGGTCGCCGCCTCGTCGCCGCCCGTCGTCTGGGCCGTTCTGGCGATCTCTCGGCTACGGTGTCGCCGTCGCCGCCCCGTCGCCGCCTCGTCGCCGCCCGTCGTCTGGGCTGGTCTGGCGATCTGGCGGCTACGGTGTCGCCGCTGCCGCCCCGTCGCCGTCTCGTCAATGCATAACTTGCGCACCACGTAGATTCTCCTTGTGTTAGGATCTACCCCCCTGGAATTAACGGTTCACCTTGTCGTGTTGCAAATTGCATGATTCCGCACCATTGTCCATCTTGGACATGAGTTCCTACCATCCCAGGCAGGCGAGTATCCGCCCCCCTCCTCTTCTGCAAAAGCATAATGCGCGCATTCATTTATCAGAATCAGAGTTTTCCAAGACTCCGTTGCAAACAATGGGACGAAGTGCGCACGCGCGCGTCGTCGCGCGCGCGCATGCCGAAATCTTTCAAACATTTTATGTTTCTTAAGTATTTCAGAGAGTGTCCCGAAAGCATATAAAATCTCATGGTCCGCAACCAGAATGTTCAAAACAAGCTTGCGACTCAGGGATACGGAGCAATGGCGTAGGGTCGAACGGAGCAATGACGTTCAGGGGGTACGTTTGAAAAAAGGGGATTCTTGGAATTTCCTTCATTTCCAAACTTACCCCCTGCTTATTTTTGCACAACCGACCATAATCAAGGCCCCCTCACCAACGAAGAAAGATCCCAGGAAGCCTTCGAGGGCCCCAAATCGTCGAACACCTCAAGGAATTTTTTGATTGTGTGGACTCCGCATTTCCCCTTCCATACGCTTCCGAGGCTTGCGCAGGGACTCCGAGAAGGTCGTTCGATGCACTAGGCACTTCAATAATTGAGATCCAATGCGATAACTTGTCAATCCTAACTAGAACTTGAGCGCGCGCGAAGCGCGCGCGATGGTTCTAGTGTGTATATATGTATATGTGTGTGTATATATATATATATTGACGTCGGAGGTGAGGGCGTGAGATCGATGTTGAACGGAGAGCCCCCCTACCGGGAAATCGGTTTCGGTTTAGTGTTCGCGCGTGCCGTGCGTGCGGGCGAGGCGAAGCTGCGCGGGCGGGCGAGAAATAAGTCTCCTGTAGCTGAGGCGCGGCCGGACCAAAAGTCTCCCTTCCGGCAACCGGTGCCCCGCGGTGTCCCGCCGGTGTCCCGCTCGGGGGCCGGTGGCGCGCGGTGTCCCGCCGGTGTCCCGCCGGTGTCCCGTCGGTGTCCCGATGATGATGATGCTGCTGATGATGATGCTGATGATGTTGACGATGATGATAATGTTGATGATGCTGATGTTGATGATGATGGTGGTGTCCCGATGATGATAATGATCATGATGATGATGATGATGATGATGATGATGATGTTGACGATGTTGATGGTGATGGTGATGGTGGTGATGATGATGGTGCCCCGATGATGATGTTGATGATGTTGATGTTGCTGATGATGATGATGTTGATGATGTTGACGATGATGATGCTGATGATGATGGTGATGGTGGTAATAATGATGGTGCCCCGGTGATGATGATGATGATGATGATGATGATGATGATGTTGATGATGATGTTGATGTTGATGATGATCAGATGATTCAATGATTATGGTGATGAGGACGATGATGGTGTCCCGATGGTGATGATGATGATCATGAGGTTGATGATGATGCTGTTGATGATGATGGTGATGATCATGGTGTCCCGATGATGATGATAATGATGATGATGACGATGATGGTGCCCCGATGATGATGATGTTGATGATGAGGATGATGATGAGGTGATGATGATGATGATTTTGATGATGGTGGCCCAATGATGGTGACGATGATGATGATGATGATGCTGATGATGATGCTGATGATGATGATGATGATGATGATGGTGTCCCGATGATGATGCTGATGATGCTGATGATGATGGTGACGATGATGATGGTGTTTCGATGATCATGATGATGATGATCATGATGATGATGATGATGATGATGATCATGATGTTGCTAATGATGATGATGATGATGATGATGATGATGATGATGATGATGATGATGATGATGATGATGATGATAATAATGATGATGATGATGATGATGATGATGATGATGATGATGATGCTGATGATGCTGATGATGATGATGATGATGTCCCGATGCTGACGATGTTGATGATATTGTTCATGATCATGGTGATGAGATGCTGATGTAGTTAGACCGAATGTGAGATCGATAGTGAGATCGATAGTGAGATCGATAGCGAGATCGACAGTCAGGTCGATTGTGAGATCGTTCGAATGAAACAGATCGGGTGAGATCAATTTTGAGATCGATCGATATCGATCGATCGAGCGAGACCGATAGTGAGATCGATAGTGATATCGATAGTGAGATCGATAGTGAGACCGATCGAGTGAGACGTTGGTTCCTCCCCCCCGAACTTCCTTATCACCCGAAGGGTGGTCGTATAGGTGTATATATACATATATATATGTATACAGATGTCGCACCGTAGGTTGTGAACACACATGTTCCACAACGTACATTGCACCACGTATATTGCACGGCATAGATTGGACAACGCATGTTGCACCGCAGATATTGCACCACGCAGACTGCGCAACACAGGTTGCACCACATTTGCTGCACCACGTCGATTGTATCGCATCTGTTGTGCACAACATAGGTTGCACAACATATATTGCACAACGTAGAATGCACCACATAGACTGAACATCATGCATTGTGCAACATCCTATGCTAGAAACACTCTGTTGGGGGTCCACGCTGGCTAACATACTTCCCCAAGTCCCAGTGGATGTAGCAGAAACAGCCTCTGCCATTCCATGCGTTAAACAATGAATGCGCGGTAAGGGCTGGCTGAAATCGACCCGGTGTCAGGGAATAGGGGTGATCAGTGCTTATAGCTAACATTTGTCGAGGGGGAGGGGGGAGATTAACCCTCTTTCCCCGGGCTTTGGTGAGTTTTTGTTCACACAGTGCGAAGCAAGACCAGGATCTGGTCGAGCAGGGGGCACGCTCCGCCTGTCCTCCTACATGAAGCTTTCTCACCCAGCGCTCATTGAATGGTTTTTGGAATTTGCAGTCGTCGTGCTACCATGCGGAGCCCTGAGTAAGGAACGCAGGAGCCTTTCTGGTCACGGCGAGCCTCGGAAACGAACAGATTTCCCGACCCAGATCTGAGGAATGGCTTGGGAACCAGAGAACGTGGTCCGTATTTCAACGTTCTGATTGTATGTGCCGAGGAAAGGCCCTCCTCCTCCTCCTCCTCATCCTCCTCCTCTCCTTCGCGCACGAGGGCCGAGTGTGCCGAGGGGCTCCCTGCTCGAACTCGAGGGGCCGAGGACCCTGTCCTGTTTTGGTGTGCTTGTGGGCGTGGGCCCCGCCGCCGCAGTGCGGTTGGGGGATGTGTGTGCCCGTCGCGCATACGTTTTTCGTCTCCCTCTTCCTCCTCCTCGTCGTCCTCCTCCTCCTCGTCGTCCTCCTCCTCATCCTCATCCTCCTCCTCCTCCTCCCTCCTCCCTCCTCCTCCCTCTTTCCTCCTCCACCTCCTGCCTCCTCCTCCTCCTCCCCTCTGTCTCCTCCTCTCCTCCTTCTCCTCCGCCTCCTCCTCCTCCTCCTTCTCCTCCTCCTCCTCCCCCTCTTCCTCCCCCTCGTCCTCCTCCTCCTTCTCTCTCGTCCTTCTCCCTTCGCCGGCCTGTCCCGCCAGCAGGAGATCTTGGCCGCCCTGAGGTCGATGAGGGGCGGGGGCGCAGGCCGCCGCCCCGCATGCGGCGCGGAGGGCGCGCCCCTTGGTAGGGCACACTGGGATGATGATGACGATGATTATGACGATGATGACGATGATGATGATGATGATGATGATGATGATGATGATGATGATGATGATGATGAAGCTGAGGATGATGATGATGACGATGCCGATGACGACGATAATGATGATGAGGGCGATGATGATTATGATGATGATGATGATGATGATGAGGATGATAGGGTGATGCTGATGATGACGCTGATGGTCATGATGATGCTGATGATGACGGCGATGATGATGATGACGATGACGATGATGATGCAGATGACGATGATGATGATGATGCCGATGATAATGATGGTGCTGATGCTGATGATGACGACGATGATGATGATGATGATGATGATGATGATCATGATGTTGCTGATAGCGATGATGATGATGATGATGATGATGATGATGATGATGATGGCGATGCTGCTGATGATGATGCTGCTGATGATGATGGCGAAGCTGATCATGACGATGATGATGATGCTGCTGATGATGCTGCTGATGATGATGATGGTAATGAGGATAACGATGCTGATGATGAGAATGATTAGGATGATTATGCTGATGATGCTGGTAATGATGATGATGAGGATCAGGATGAATCTGATGATGCTGATGATGATAATGATGCTGATGGTGATGCTGATGATGATGCAGATGACAACGATAATTGTGATGACGATGATGATGAGGAGAATGATGCTGATGCTGATGCTGACGACGATGATGATGATGATGATGCTGAGGATGGCGATGCTGCTGATGATGCTGATGCAACTGATGACGATGCTGATGATGATGAGGGTGATGATGATGCTGACCATGACGACGACGATGATACTGATGCTGATACTGATGCTGCTGATGATGATGATGATGCTGATGATGCTGATGATGTTGACGATGCTGATGCTGATGATGCTGATAATGATTCTGATGCTGATGCTGCTGCTGCTGATGATGATAATGCTGGTGATGATGGCGATGCTGCTGATGATGATGATGATGTTAATGCTGCTGCTGCTGCTTCTGCTGCTGTGCTCGCTGCTGCTGCTGATGATGATGATACTGATGATGTCGATGATGCTGATGCTGATGCTGATGCTGATGATGCTGATGATGATGATGATGATGATGCTGATGCTGATGCTGATGCTGATGACGGTGGTGGTGGTTGCTGATGATAATGAGCGTGATCATGCTGATGATGATGATGTTGATGCTGATGCTGACCAGGATGACGATGATGAATATGATGATGCTGATGATGATGATGATGATGATGATGATGGTGATGCTGATGATGGCGATGATGATGGTGATGAAGATGACGATGTTGATGATGATGATGCTGCTGATGATGATGATGCTGATGATGATGATGACGAAGATGATGACGGCGACGACGATGATGATAATGATGATGCTGATGCTGATGATGATGATGATGATGATGATGATGATGATGATGATGGTGGCGGTGGAGGAGGAGGTGGGAGACGAGGAGGGGGAGGAGGAGGAAGAGGAGGAGGAGGAGGAGGAGGAGGAGGAGGAGGAGTGAGGAGGGAGGATGGAGGAGCCCTCCCATCCCGGGCCTCCTCCACATCAGTCTCTACGCTCAGGCGAGGGCACCGTATTGAAAAGGAAGGCGATCAGGCCAGGTCAGAAAGTCAGGCGAGGTGTTCAGCGATAGCCCCGTTTTGAAAATGAACCGTCCACCGTCCTTGTAACTGCTGCGCATGTCTTGCACGTATGGTTGTTCAGCTTGAGGAGATCCTGAGCGATAGCCACGTTTAAAAAAAAGAGCCGGCCTCCTTATGTGCAGTTGCTACACAAGTGCACGCTTCTGGCAGTTCGTGTAGAGGAAGTCTCACGCAAGAGCCCCATTCTGAGGACGGAGCAGTCTTCCATCCGTGTAACTGTCGCAAGTTTTTGAGCTGGGTGTTCACAGCGCTATGGCGAGAACCACATTTTGAAAGCGTATTGCTCTTCATCCTGGTAGTTATGGCTAGCTTTTAGGAGGTTCTTTTACGCGGTGCTATGCGATAACCTTATTCTGGGCATGTACATACGACCCTCCATCATTGTGGCTGTTTCAGCTTTTCGTGGCGTATGTGCGTGGCGCTAAGGAGGGACCCTCACATTTGTAGCAGTTGAAAGCGTTTAAGACGAATGTACGCGTTGCTCAGGCGAGAACTCCATTGCGGCAACGTGCCGTCCTCCATCCTTGTAGCCGATGGGGTTTCCAATCTTCCGAGTCGTATTTGGTGAGGAAGTACCAGGCAAACCGCATCGCCCACCCTACCGACATGGCTGGTGGTGCGGAACGGGGTAATTATCTATGAGGGCAAGTAAGAGATGGAGGACGAAGAACTGGAGGAACATGGGTATGATGATGATGAGGAGGAGGAGGAGGAGGAGGAGGTGGATGTGTGTGTGTGTGTATGTGTGGTGGGATATGGGTGGGTGGGTGGGGGAGAAAGGAGGAGCAGGAGGAGCTGTTCGGGGGAGGATGGTTAGAGTGAGGTCTGATGAAGATGTTCGAGCAAATGCACCAGCAGGATGATGAGGGTGATTGTGAAGATGATGATGATGATGATGATGATGATGATGATGACGTGGGGCGAATCATGTGATGATGCGGCTGGTGGTGGTGATAACGATGATGATGATGATGATGATGATGATGATGATGATGATGACGATGACGATGACGACGCTGACGCTGACGATGACGATGACGATGACGATGATGATGATGATGATGATGATGATGATGATGATGATGATGATGATGATGATGATGATGATGATGATGATGATGATGATGATAGGGATGATGATGCTGCTGCTGATGATGATGATACGGTGGCGATCGGGGTACATGGGTGATCGAGCTGATGATGGGAGTCGTTATGACGGTGCCGATTTGGATGGTGATGGCCATGCTTTCGCTGATTTTGTACCTATTACTTGAGTGCCATGTCTGTTCATGGATGTCCCTGGAACTGAAGAGACCTTGGGGGGGTGGGCGGATCGAGGTCACAAATTGCACCTAAACCCGGGCCCATGGCATACTTGCGTTTTGAGTGTCGAACGATTGCGTTTTGACTGTGGGAACTTCGTTGTGGGCACGCAGTTTGCCCTTTGCTGTGTTTCCAGTTGAAGCGATTGTGTTTTAACTGTGCTTCTTGTGGCGTGAATACGAAGGGTTGCCTACGAATACCGGTATACCGTGTACCCTTTGTTTCCCCTGAAAACCAAAGTTTGGGAGGGGCGTTCGGCGGACAACCATCAGTCAAACCTGATTTGAGTATCGCCGATCCCGATATCTTTTCGTCTTGATTATCTAATATCGGGTCCTATGCTCTAATATCCTCGCCCGTTGTGTCCAAACGTATCTTTGATGATGATGGTGATGGTGATGGTGATCGTTATGGTATTGGTGACGCTGATGATGCTGATGATGATAATGATGATGATGTTGACGATGATGATGAGGGTGATGACGATGCCGATCATGAAAATGCTGACTATGATGACGATGCCGATGATGATGCTGATGATGATGTTGTTGTTGATGATGCTGATGCGGCTGATGACCATGATGATGATGGTGACAATTATGATACTGCTGCTGCTGCTGATGATGATTCTGATGGTGATGCTGATAATGATGGTTATGATGCTGCTGCTGCTGATGATGATGATGCTGATGATGATGATGATGATGATGATGATGATGATGACGGTGGCGATCGGGGTACATGGGTGATCGAGGTGATGATGAGAGTCGTGATGATGATGGTGTCGATTTGGATGGTGATGGCCATGCTTTAGCTGACTTTGTAGCTAATACTTGAGTGCCATGCCTGTTCATGGATGTCCCTGGAACTGAAGAGACCCAGGGGGGGGGCCGATCGAGGTCGCAAATTGCACCCAAACCCGGGCCCATTGCATACTTGCGTTTTGAGTGTCGAACGATTGCGTTTTGACTGTGGGAACTTCGTTGTGGGCACGCAGTTTGCCCTTTGCTGTGTTTCCAGTTGAAGCGATTGTGTTTTGACTATGCTTGCTGATGATGATGATGATGATGCTGATGAGGATGATCATGATCATCGTGATGATGGTGTTGGTGTGGTAGTGATGGTGATGCTTCTGATGATGATGAGGATGATAATGACGACGACGCTGATTACGCTGATGATGATGATGATGATGATGATGATGATGATGGTGATGGTGATGGTGATGATGATGCTGATGATGCTGCTGCTGATGATGATTTTGATGACGACGAATGTGATGATGCTGCTGCTGATGATGATAATGTCGATGACGATGCTGACGGTGATGACGATGATGACGGTGCTGGTGATGATGATGATGTTGCTGCTGCTGGTAATGATGATGCTGATGCTGATGCTGATGATGATGATCATGATGATAATGATGTTTGTGGTGTGCTGGTGGTGGTTATGTTTGTGATGATGATAGTGATGCTGCTGCTGATGATGATGATGACGCAACTTATAATGATGACGACGTTGATGTTGATGATGATGCTGGTGCTGATGGGGATGATGATGCTGCTGATGCTGATGATGATGATCATGCTCATGATGATGATGATGACGACGACGCCGACGATGAGGGGATGATGCTGATGAGGATGATGATGAGGATGCTGATGATGATGATGATGCTGAACATGATGATGACGATTATCATGGTAATGCTGTTGAGGATGATGATAATGATGATGATGATGATGATGATGATGATGATGATGATGATGATGATGATGATGATAGTGATGCGGGTGATGGTGATGATGATGCTGATGATGATGATGCTGCTGATTATGATTGTGATGACGACGAATGTGATGATGCTGCTGATGATGATGATGTCGGTGACGATGCTTACGGTGATGATGACGATGATGATGAATAGGATGATCTGCTGCTAGTGATGATGATGCTGATTAGGGTGATCATGATGATAATTATGGTGGTGTTGTGGTGGTGGTGATGATGCTTGTGATGATGATAGTGATGCTGCTGCTGCCGATGATGATGCAATTTCTGCTGATGACGATGACGTTGATGTTGATGATGCTGATGATGATGCTGCTGATGCTGATGAGGATAATGATGCTGCTGATGATGATGCTGATGATCATGATACTGATGATGATGATGATGATGATGATGATGATGACGGCGACGTTGACGCCGACGATGAGGGGATGCTGCTGATGAGGATGATGCTGCTGCTGATGATGATGACGATGATGATGATGCTGCTGATGATGAGGATGATGATGCTGATGAGGATGATGCTGTTGATGATGCTGATGATGATGAGGAGGATGCTGATGATGATGATGATGATGATGATGATGAAAGTGATGATGATGATGATGATGATGATGATGATGATGATGACAATGATGATGCTGATGCTGATGATGATGATACTGATGCTGCTGATGATGATGACGGCGACGACGACGCCGACGATGAGGGGATTATTCTGATAAGGATGATGATGATGCTCATGATGATGATGCTGATGGTGGTGATGATGCTGAACATGATGATGCTGATGATGATAATGATGATGATGATGATGATGAGGATGATAGTGATGATGATGAATATGATGACGAGGATTATTACGATGATGATGAACATGATGATGAGGATGATGGTGATGCTGATTATGATGATGATGATGATGATGATGATGATGATGATGATGATGATGATGATGATGATGACAATGATGATGCTGATGATGATGACGATGATGATCAGGGTTATGAGGGTGATGATGATGCTGATGATGCTGATGATGATGATGATGTTAATGATGATGATGAGGATGAGGATGAGGATGAGGATGAGGATGAGGATGAGGATGATGATGATGATGATGATGATGATGAGGAGGAGGAGGAGGGAGGAGGAGGATGAGGATGAGGATGAGGATGATGATGATGATGATGATGATGATGATGATGATGATGATGATGATGATGATGATGATGATGATGATGAGGAGGAGGATGAGGGAGGAGGAGGAGGAGGAGGAGGAGGAGGAGAGGAGGAGGAGGAGGAGGAGGAGGCGGCGGGTGTGCAGGAGCAGCGGGTGGGAGGGCCGTGCGGGTGCGGCAGCAGGCCCCGACGCGTGGAAGATCGCGGGCGCTCTGGCCGAGCAGGCCGCCCGCGCCCTCCGTGCCCCTTGGGCGGCCGGCTCCTTGAGCGGGCCCCTGGCACAGGACGAGGACGAGGAGGGGAGGGAGAGGAGGAGGGGAGGAGGGGAAAGGAGGGGAGGGAGAGGAGGAGGGGACAGGGAGGGGGAGGGGAGGGAGGGCGGGAGGAGGGGAGGGAGAGGAGGAGGGGGAGGAGGGGAAAGGGATGGGGGAGGAGGGGAGGGAGAGGGGGAGGAGGGGAAAGGGAGGGGGAGGAGGGGAGGGAGGGGAGGGGGGGGGAGGGGAGGGAGAGGAGGGGAGAAGGGAGGGAGGGGAGGGGGAGGAGGAGGGGAAAGGCAGCCGCAGACCGGGAGCAGGAGACGACGACGCTGGCAAGGTCCAGTTCGGCCCGACCGATCGGCTGGCCAGATCGGATCCGATTTCGACGGATCGACGAGCCGAGGCGGCCCGATGCCTGCATGGCGCTGAGATGCATCCCGGCGCGGCCGAGGCGATTCGGTTCCGACTTCGTGCCGATGCAGCCGGATTCGATGTCCGTTTCCGTTCGGTCTGGTCTCCCGGCTCGATGCTGTTGGATCTCGCACGAGCGACAGCCAAACACGTGATCCCCGTGACCACATATGTGTATGTGACGCATATGTGGTCATGGCGATCAAGAAAGGCTACGTACACATACTATGTGTACGTAGCCTTTCTTGATCGAGATTCGGAAAACAAGTCCGTCTCGTCGCAACGTCAGATCTCGTGCGTGAGTTTCCCTCGTGCTCTCTCTCTCTCTCTCCTGGCGTCGAATCAACAGCCGGAGCGAGGTCAGATTGCCCATGGGCGCAGCACCAAGAACTTTGTAAAAACCGCGAGAGCTAGTTTACGAAGTTGACCCAGGAAAGGTCTCATCTCATGCCCTTCACACTCATCATGTGCTGGGAGATGAGGCATTTTACGTCCAGTGTTGCAGTCCCAGAGCCCCGCGCAGGAGCGCGATAATCTTACCATAGGGTGCTTCAGCACAGTTTGGAATGCCCTGTTAACAAGTGATCTCCAACTCGTGAGAAGCATCAGGGATGAAACCGCAGTTGATGAAAGCTGCGATATTGAAGTGGGGGTGGCAGTGGGCTCTCTTGACGCTCCCAAAACTGCTGTGAGGTAGTTCGCTGGCTGGTCCTACCATGCAAGTAGATCGTTACGAGAAACGTGTGGTCAACCTTCGGTATACGGGCCTCATGGTGGACATCTCTCCTTTTTGCATTGATTCACTTGGAGCACAGCGCTCCAACACATGCAGGATGTGTGCAAGCTGCCTGCCTGGTGCGAAGGTGCTGAGATTTCCTTGAACTTTTGGGCTCGGCTTCGGGCGAAACTACCAAACGTTCTCTGGTAGCACAGTGTAGATGATCTACTTACCTCTGGCATGTTCGGAAAACTGGAACGTGCAAGCACTCATAAGACATCCTTCAGCTCTTGGACATCTTGTAATCTGTCACTCCTTCCACAGTCTTCACGCTGCATATTCGCAGCCCCGAGATACTTACACATAGCTTTGGAGATCACGCCCAAGACTCACTTTGACTGTCGGCCACACTGGTCATCGACATGAAATTCTTGCTCGCAGTCTTCTATGTGTCAACATCGACTGGGCGTCCACTTCGGAGACGTGGAGATTTCGAGCTGGTTAGATGCAAACTTAATGTGTCAGCTTGCTTCGAAGGTAGGGCAGTCCACACGTTTTGGATTCGGCGCTCCATCTAAGCGCGCTGCCGATCATTGGAATACCTGGGTCGACAATTCCAGTGTCGCGCGTTCGTCAGTGCACCTATGCAGTGCTGAAGGTATTCGCGTCAAGCTATGGTTTTCCGACCAGCAGACTCCAAGCTATGATAGGCTGCTTGTGCAACAGGTTGCCTCAGTCGAGCCATTGGTTGACCATGTCCAGCCCAGCATTTCTTCTCCAACTTCTGGGAAGCCAGCCCCCGCTGTCTCTTTCCGGCAGCGGCATTGGTCCGTTGCCAGTTGTGTAGGGCGTGCACGTGCCGCCAGCTCTGTCTGAGCTGTCACCGCGACCCCGCAGTGCACAGCTTAAGCGCGAGCACGGGTCCGCGAGGGTGACCGTAGAGAGCTGACTCCCCTGGAGGCGGGAGTTGGAGGGGTACGGCAGGTTCGCGTCGCGTCGACGCGGCGGCGACCCCAGTGCGGGCGTTGAAGGTTGAAGGCCGCTGGCGGCCTGAACTCGGCCAGTATTGAACGGTCTCGCTTGCCAAGGTAAACAACGCCCGGTCAAGGTTGAAAGATCCACGCGATTTCAGAAACCAACGCCTGGGTCGTCATGACACGAATCTGCCAGAAGCACTTACAGAGGGGACTGGGGATGTGTGGGCTTTAGAATAGTTTGTGAGCTGAAAGGCATCTGCGCCCTGGTTGGCTGTCTTGAGCCTTCTCCAGGCCTTTCTTGTAGGCGCCCCACAAACAAAGCGAGACACATTCTTTACCAGCGCGAAGTCTGCCCTGCGGCGACGTCGGCGGAGTGAGGGGGCAAGCGAGAGGGATGGGGGGAGGGGGCGACGGGAACACGGCCCGCTCCCGCGCCTGCGGCATCGCATCAAACAACAGCTGATTCGCCCACCGCTTCCAGCGCCCTGGGGCACGCGGCGAGTCGCGCGCAGCAACACAGCGCGACAAAGACCTGTCACTGTTGACTCGCGCCTAACTGACTGATAACCAGGACGACCTCGGCTGGGGACGCGGGCGATCTACGACTGCCGCCGCGCGGCGCTCAGAGGCCCCGGCTCGACGGGGCGGGGCGAAGCCCCCGGGGGGGGGGACTGGCCTGTCCAGCCTATGGGCGGCTGCTCGTGATCGTCGCCGCCTCATGCCGAGAGGGCATACGCGTCTGCCAGCAGGGCTGCAGGGCTGATTCTTGCAGCCGCAGGCAGCCTGCAAGAGCGCCTCCGAGGCTGGTGGAAGCGCCCAAAAGGTACGGTGTGGCCCCGCCCGAGGCCCCCCGCCCCGCCCCCCCCGCACGCCCGTGCAGTGCGCGACCCCCGGCCCAGGCCGCGTGCGCACGGTCGGGGGGCGGATGGCACGGTGGGCGGTCACGGCGCAGCGCTGCTCAGCGCCGCCGCCTCGGGGCGGTGCCGCTGCGGAGCCGGGGGTTGGCGGGGGAGACGCAGCAGTAGTAGCCAGGCCAAGCTGGAGCGGACATGCGCATGATCCCAGAGCCCGCCCCCTGGTCCCGCCGTCCTGGCCCCCTGAGCCTCGCCGCCCTCCGTCGCCCCCCCCCCCTTTGCCCTCCTTTCCCCCTCTCCTGGTCCCCCCCCTGGGCCGCCCTCCCTCGCGTTCCCCCTGCCCTCCTCTCTCCCTCTGCCCCGGGCCCGCCTTGGGCCTTGTTCTGCCTCTGCCTCGGGCTGGCCTGGCCTGTGCCGCCCTGTCGCCACGGCCTTTACAGATCCATCCAGCGCCTTTCCGCTCCGGGCCGAGTGCCCGCCGCGCAGCAACCCGCTCACAAGGGGGCTGCTGGGGGCTGCCCCCGCGCGGCACTCTACCAGCTGCGTGCTGGGGGGGCCGCCGGAGGGACCCCTCCCAGGGGTGATGGAGGGCGGGCGCCTCCCGCGTAGCGTCGGGCGTCACCCTCCATGCCCTCGGCCGTGGGGAGGGTCACCGCGTGGCAGGCATTTGGGGGCCGCCCGCGGAATGAGATGGCCGTGCCGGGCGACCTGGCCGGCCGCGGGGCGCCGACTGGGCGCGCCTCGTGAAGCCGTGCGGCAGGAAGGAAGGAATGAGGAGGAGGAGGAAGACGAGGAGGAAGCGGAGTGGGAGGAGGAGAGTGGCTCTTGATTCCGCTCTGACCACATGTGACAGCTCATCACAACCGCGCGTGTTCCAGTGGTGGGCGCAGGTAGAGTACAGGTTGCATTTCATAGGCACGCCGTGGCACTATTTCTTTGCAGAGTAATGACATCAATGAACAAGAACGAGCATGACGACGACGAGCGCATGGGTCGGAGGAGGGATGATCATCTGCACCACCCGGGGGGAGGGATGTGCAGGGTCAGGGGAGGTGGTAGCGTATACCTTTGCGGGCACTTTCGCGGAACATCTTGCGTTTGTGCCATCCACGAAGCAGTTTTTCTTGCACCCTCCCAGGTGGTAGTGTTGGTGGTGATCTCCTAAACTTAGGATGCAATCGCCCGCATTACCATAAGCTGCAATTCGCATTGTTTTTTTTTCGGTGGCTACCTTGCGGATTACGTCGGTACGTGTAGTTTCAATTTTGATGTTTTTGGGAACACATCGCCGATGTTTTTTTTGCTTGTGTGCGTCATGGAACACCTCGGTGTCCGGGCGCGTGCGCCATTAAATACCTCGATTGGTTTCGATGCGCACCGCGAAGCAGTTGGGTGTCTTTTATATGAAACCCCTCGGTTGCCTTTTGGGTGGACCACGAAACACCTCGATATTTTTGCGTTCGACATGCCATAGCTAGATCGAATCTGCGTGCGGTACATACGACCTCGATGATTTGACTTTCCCCGTGAAAGACCTCGATCGTTTCCTTGGCGACCCCCGAGAAGTGGCGGTCCACCAACCCCAGAATTGGCGGGCGACTCAAAAAAACAGTTGGCTGGGCTGCAGTCGACCATCCCGAAAACTGTTGGGCGACCAACCCCAGAATCTAGAATTGGCGGGCGACAGACCCCAGAACTGGCAAGGCGACCGATCGGCGGGTGCCAGCCCCAGAATTGGCAGTGCGACCGACGCCCCGCGCGAAAGACATCGATGATTTTTGGTGCGCGCAATGAGAAATGTCGACATTCTTCATGCGCCGTCTTGCGGGCGACCGCTTCGGCGCTAGGCCCCAGACGGCCACGCCCTAGGCCCTAGGCCCCCATGCCGTAGGCTCTCGGCCTCACACCCATGCCCTGGGTTCAGGCCTAGGCCTGAGCCTTGGGCCTCAGGGCTAGGCCAAGGGTCTAGGGCCTTGGGCTTCGCTTGGGCCATAGGCTTCGGGTTAGCCTAGGCCCTGGGCCTAGGGCCTAGGGCCAGGGCCTCGGGCTAAGTCCTAGTGCTCGGGGCCTGGGACGCAGGGTCTGGTCGCCACTTGCCGGCGGCCACTGGCTTGCGTGAGTGCTCGGGTCGGGGTCAGGGCTCGGGTCGAAGCAGGCCTTGGGCGGGTTCGGGCCGGGGCCGATCGGTTAACGCCGAGGTCAGCACTTTGCTCCGCGGTAGATGCCGAGGTCAAGATTTAGGCCCGAGTAGCCGCCGAGGTGCATGCCGAGGTCAAAATTGAGGTCCGACCAAAACGCCGAGATGAATGCCGAGGCCAAGCTTTAGGCCCGACTAAGACACTGAAGTGAATACCGAGGTAAAACATGAGACCCGATTCAAACGCCGAGGTGAATACCGAGGGCAAAATTGAAGTCGAAGTTGAGGTCAACTTAGAGACGAGTACGATCGATTGGCGTCGTTTCTGATAGGGCAAGAGCCGATGTCCAAATTGATGTCAAATTTGAAGTCACAATTGAAGTCCGATGAAAACGTCGAGGTAGGTACCGAGGTCAAAGTTGAGGCCCGACTAAAACGCCGAGGTGTATGCCGATGTCAAAATTGAGGCCCGGCTAAGACGCCGAGGTAAATGCCGAGGTCAAACACGTGACCATATTGAAACGCCGAATTGAATACCGAAGTCAAAGTTGAGGTCAGAATTGAGGTCGAACTTGAGGTCGTTGTTGAGGTGTGCATTGATGGTCAGCCAGGTTTGCGCGGCGCTCTCAAGTGCCCCCCATCCGCGCCGCCTCCCGAGCGCGGCGCGCCCTGAGTACCCCTTCGGTGTGCGGCGCTCCCGAAGTCCCTCTCCCTTTCCGTGCGCGGCGCGCCGCAAGTACCCCCCCCCCCCCGAAACGGCGTTGTGCGCCCGATAGATTCGCGAGACTCCCTTAAACATCCGGAACCCAATTTGTGGGGGCCCACGGGATTCCACGGGATCCCAAAACGATTCGCAAAAGAGTGCCTGAAAGTATTTGAAAATTGGTAAGGGCCCGACGTCGTCAGAATGCGTCGGCTCGCCCACGGTCCCGGAGGCGAGGTGGCGCAAACTCATCCTCAGGTTGAATAGCTGCGGTTCCACATGGCCCCAGCACGGAACTTGACTTCGTACTCCCTCCGTTTCCTCCCCTTGGCCGCCTGGCCCTCCTCCTCATCCTCCTCCTTCTCTTCATCCCCCGCCTCCTCTCGCCCTTCCTCCCCGTCCCGCCCCGCTTCATTTATTGGGTGCCTTAGGAGCTTCAGCGATGAGATCGCAGACGGCGTCAAACAAACTTGGCCAAGTTAGTGCATTTTGATCGAGTCGGCTCGAGTTTCCAGCTTGCCGACTTTCGGACTCAGATCGTTGGTGGCGCACGCGCAACCATCGAGGCCCCGCGCAATATGCCCGACATGCGTCGAGGCCATAGCACACCGCCCCGACAAAACATCGAGGCCTCGCGCATTTCCCTGAAACAGCCATCGAGGCTAGCTTTTGCGTGCACCCCCCAAAAGACCATCGATGCTTCGCGCACTGCCCCCGAAATGCGTCGAGCTTGTGGCAGGTTGGCCAAAACCATCGAGGCCCCGCGCAGTGCCCCCCAAATGCGTAGATGTCGAGGGGTCACATTTGGCGTGAAGGATTTGCGAGGTAAGCCTCTACAGAACCAACGAGGTCATGCAGCGTGAGAAACCTCTACTCTCCTACTGGTTGTGGTGAGATGTATCAAGGTGGGTCGATTGCATCCTAGTCCTAGACCTCCGACGTCGTGGTGTCCTCACGAAGTGAGTTTCCGCAATTCTCGGCTCCATCCCCGGGGCGGGCCTGCCGCCGCGGGCAACTCTCGGCGGCCCTGGGCGCCCTAAGCGGGCCTCCGGAGGCCCAGTGACGTGGAGCGCAAGGCCTCGAAGAAAAGCAACATGCCGCAAACGTAGACTTTCGGAGCTCCGCGCGGATTTCTGGGATCGGTGCTTCATCCCCTGGCAGCGCCTCTGGCGCAGCCCTTCGCGCCAGGGAGGGGATCTCCGAAAGTTTATATGTGAATGACCATTCTTTGTTCCTCTGTGGCCACAAGGTGTGCTTTTCGTCGCGACGCGTGCCGTTCTGGGGCAGTGGGCTTCCTCCTCCATTTCGCATCAGTTTGCCTGGCGACCTCTTGTAGCGGCCGAGGCCGAGTCAGGTGAAGCTCTGTGGTCTTGCTCCCCTCCCCATACAGGCGATGTCCGGCTGTTTTCCGTACGCGGTCCCTGGAAGTCCCGACCCATTCCCCGGGGCCGTTTTTTTGTCCCAAGTGGTGTTTTCACGGCCCCCCGGCCCAGCAAGGGCCCTTGAGGGCCGAAAGTGGCCGAAAACCTCCCGTCCTGATGTTTTTTTGCAGCGCAAGCACTAAGTCGGGCCTGTCACTCTACAGGGGGAATATTCAAAAATAGTAAAAACAATAGCCTGGGGACCACTTTTTGAGTATTTTTGGGCATGGAGGGCCGACATGAGGCAAGCATGCCTGGGCCATTGTCTCCTCCAAGCAGAACGAGGAGCTTCCTCCTCCCTGCGGGGCGCGCGCCCGCGGGGCCGCGGGGCGGCCCGCCAGGCCGCCCGGGTGCAGATCCCGGAGCACCTCCGCGAGAGCCTCTGCTGGGCGGCCGGGGCGCTGTGAGGGCGTCCGGCGCGCGCTCCCTGCGGGGCGTCTCGCTCAGGGTCTGATGGGCGTGTTTTCCACCACCACCACCATAAGTTGGAGGGGGGGGTCCTCCTGCTCCTCCTCCTCCTCCTCCTCCTCCTCCTCCTCCTCCTCCTCCTCCTCCTCCTCCTCCTCCTCCTTCCCCCCTCCAACCTATGGTGGTGGTGGTGGAAAACAGGCTCATCAAGGGTCGCAGGCCTAGAGGTCGACACCAACACCAAGACCGGCGGTGTGCCTCCACAGAGGGAGGGCGATCCCGATCTAGGTGATGGTGGTAGTATTCCGGCTTCTAGGGTGACCGAACTATTACCACCAACACCGAAATCTAGGATCATCTTCCCCACGTGGAGGCCAGCCCCTGTGCTGGTGTGGGTGCCCATTTCCAGGCCTCCAACAGGGGAGGGAGAGGTGCCGATGCCGCTGCCCTTCCCTCGGTTTCGCCTTTTTTTGGGCCTCCCGTGAGGCCGTCGTCGCCAAGGCTGGATTCGCCTCTGGTCAGAGGGCGCCCCAGGAGACCTGTGAGGAGCAGCGGCATTGGTATCTTTTGGCTTCCCCAGTCGCCGCCTCTGTCTTCGCACGGGGAGGCTCCGCCGAGAGAGCGTGTCCACATCCACCGCCCTGGAGTCGTGCCACAGGATCCCGAGGATTCGTGGAGAAGTCGCGGACGTGCAGACGGCAAGCCCGTGTCTCGTCGACGCGGCGACGACCTCGCCGCGGGCGCTCAAGGCTGAAAACGCCGTCGGTGGCCCAGAAGTGGCCAGCGTGGAACGATTTGGAAATCGAATGTGTGCCGATCGCTCAAGATGGAACGATCCGCGCGGTTTCAGAAACCAACGCTTATGTCGGGCGTGTCCCCCTACGGGGGGATTTTCGACGAAAAATAAAAAGTACCCCCCCCAAAATGCCCCAAAAAGGCCAACAAATATGCAAACAATAGTCCCCAGACTATTTTTTGATTATCGTTTGATTACTTTTGGGGTAGTTTTTATTTTTCGTCGAAAATCCCCCTGTGGGGGGACACGCCCGACTTAAACCAACGCCAGGGTCGCCACGTCCACCCGTCCCCGAGGATTCCCGGCCCGACTCCGGCAGCCACGGGCGCGGATGCCTCCCTGGCGGCTGTGCAGCCCCCGAGGGCGCTGCGCCGGCGGGCGCGCACCTCGGATGCCCGAGGCGGTGGCTCGCCGCGGTGCAGCCGACAGCGCAGGCCGGCGGCGGAGAAAAGGCGAGAGGATGCCGCCTCCTCTTCCTTTTCCTCCCTCCTCCTCCTCCGCCTCCTCCTCCCTCCTCCTCCTCCTCCTCCTCCGCCTCCTCCTCCTCCTCCCTCCTCCTCCTCCTCCTCCGCCTCCTCCTCCTCTTCCTCCTCTCCTCCCTCTTCTTCCTCCTCCTCCTCCTCCCTCCTCCTCCTCCTCCGCCTCCTCCTCCTCCTCCTCCTCCTCCCTCTTCCTCCTCTTCCTGCTCCTCCTCCTCCGTTTCCTCCCTCCTCCTCCTTTTCCTCCCTCCTCCCTCCTCCTCCTCCTCCTTTTCCCTCCCTCCTCCTCCTCCTCCTCCTCCTCCTCCTCCTCCTCCTCCTCCCTCCTCCTCCTCCTCCTCCCTCCTCCTCCTCCTCCTCCTCCTCCTCCTCCTCCTCCTCCCTCCTCCTCCTCCTCCTCCTCCTCCTCCTCCTTTTCCTCCCTCCTCCTCCTCCTCCTCCTTTTCCTCCCTCCTCCTCCTCCTTGTTGCTGGCCAGGCCTTATGTGTGCACATGTGGAGTTCTTGCGACTGTGGGGCAACGACTCGGCGTAAAAAAGCCCTGGCGGGCGCCGTGACATTGAGCTGAGAAAAGTAATGTACTAGAACAGAAAAAAAAGAGTAGGCGCCCGCCAGGACCTCGAGGTCGGCAAACACCCTAGCTAGTAGACCGCCAGGAGTTATAACATACTAACTAAGGTAGGTGTAGGCCCGTAAGATCAGTTGGTGGTGCCGCCTCGGTAGGTAAAGCAGTGGCTGGCATGCACGGAATGGCGTGCATACAGGCGAGCAAAGTCCCAACATGTAATTTGGAGTGATAAGCGGCAGTACGAGACAAACAACAGATAAGTGCGAGTTACAACTTTGAGGTACATGCTGTCGAACAAGAAACGCAGGTGAAAGAAAAAGTACAGAGTGCGACGCCGTGGCAGTGCAGTTCTAGGGTTGCTGCCCAGGATTTTTGTTTACCCCAAACCATATATGAATGTGCTCATCCACACCCATAATGAACCCCGTCAGCGTCCGTCCTTTACAAGGTTGGCCCGTAAGGCTTGCCTGTAGCTGAGTGAGGGCGGCTGCGCAGAGTAGCCTGATAATACAGGCTTTTAGGACAATCCGCAGTTCTTGGGATGCTGCCCTTGCTGTAGATTTATAGAAAAGTAACGTGAGGCGTCACTGTAGTATTGTACTGTGCAGTGCTCCCTCTTTGCCAGCTGTAGGCCAGCTCTTTTAGCCAGCTGTAGGCCCGCTCTTCCGTTCCTGGGTGGAGGGCCACTTTCACCGTATTTCTGTCAGGAGTGCGGGGGTAGGAATGAGATAACGAGGTGAGTAGAGGGAAGCAGTGAGGCGCACTGTGTATTGGCAGAGGAGAGAGAAGTCCGAACTGTGGGCTGGGGTTTCTGGTTGACCCCCAACCTTGTACTATCCTCCATATTTTAAGGCTGGCCTGATAGGCTTGCCTGAAAGCTGAGGTGAGAGCAGCTGCACGGATTAGGCCTGAAGCTACATGCTTGTCAGACAAAAACAGTTCTTGAGATGCTGCCCTTGCTGTATTCGGTTGTAGAAACAACTTGCAAGCGGGGTCAGACGATCTCTGGTCCCTCCTCCACAGCCTCCTTCACCCGACCCACCGCACCTCCCCCACTCCATAATGTATAAGGTGCTGCCGTGCTGTGAGAATAAACAAAGGGGCACATTCCAGTTGGGGACCCAAGTGCCAGTTGGGCGCGCGGTATGGAGGATGGCCTCGAAGTGTCTAGCATCAGCTTGTAGAGGAGGGGGAGATGCCACCAGGTTGTCAAGCCGAAGCGGCCAACAGGAGGTGTTTTGCGCCCCAGCGATGGGGAGGGCCACGGGGGAGAGATCGCTGTGCAGGTAGTCTATGCTCGGCTGACCTGCAAGAAGAGGCTGGCCAAGTAATTTTGAGCAAGACTGGTAAGCAAATAACGGTACTTACCTCTCTGTGTTGCTGCTAGACTCGCCGTGGGCGGCTGTAACAGGAGGAAGATACTTTCGGTGCCCCTCAACAAATGTCAGGTCTATAGACTTTATAGGCACGCTGCGATACCCGTTCTTGCTGAATGAAGCGTCCCGGGCGGCAGCGTGCTTAGTCAGCCAGGGTTTTATGGGATCACCCAGAACCTTGGTTGGAGAGAGGTGCCACTAGCATGTCGAAACGCTGGACGAAAGACGGGGGGTGTATGGCGCAACCGTGAAATGGAGGAATGGAGATTTCTGGTATGAGATGCGCGGCGCCTGCAGCATCTTGTAGAAGCAACTTGTATCACAATGGAACGCCAGGAAGCGTGAGGTAGTACAATATGCTTCTGTCTAAGTTTAGATCGCGCGACCAGGCAGTAAGAACAATGAGAGCGGACATGCTTAAGGAGTGGCGTCAGAAATAATGGGGCTCGTCTCTGTGGGTACCCAAATGCCTCTTGGGCTAGTGAAGCTCCACCCCCACCGCGAGAACGTAGAAGCCCCATCTTAGGTAGTTACTCGGGGTTTGATGAATACCCTGGTAAGCCACAGGCAGTGGAGGGGAAGGAGCCACCAGATTGTCAAATCGCGGCGGAGAAGCGGAAGGTGTATTGCGCATCTTTGTTAAAGAGGCAGAGGGAGTAGGAAATATAACGTGCCCGGCTGCAATGAGTAAGTCCGCTGTGTTCAGTAGATGTCCTTCTGCGGTAATTGATGGCGGAAGGGGTACTGGATGTGGATGTCGTGGTAATTGCCGTCGCTGGTTATGTAGATAAACTGATCCCTTGCAGTCAGGGTCGGCTTGGGCTTGGGTACGGCCTTGTGTAGTGTTACCACTCGTTTGGGAGGAGGCTCCCTGAACGGTGCTCCAGGTAGGTAGTCGCGGAGGCTGTTGATGTAGGTCTCGTAGCGGGACTGGTGCGTGCGGAGCCTGGCGGTGTAGTTTTGGAGTGTGGGGTCGCCGGTGACGTTGATGAAGATGACATGTCGGTTGACGATGTGGCCCTGCTGCTCTCCCCGTCTTGCTGCTTCGTTGTGCGTCGCGATGGTTTGTGCTGCAATAGTCGGGAAGTAGGTATGCAGAGTAGCGAGTTTCTGTGGTGCCAAATTCCGCATGGGTCACTCCTAAATCCACTGTTGTGTCAGGATGTCTTCTTCTGGTGGGCAGATGGTTGGTATTTGTAATACTGGTGGTGGTGGATGGGCTGGGATGACTTGTTTGAATGGTGACCATTTTATGATGGTAGTGGCTTGGACTGTGGCTGTGATTGGCTTATTGGGTGTGGTGTTGCTGTTGGGCGTGGCCGCTTGCTGTTGTGTTGGTTGATTGGCTTGGGCTAACAGGTGCGCAGGTGGTGGTTTGTATGGTCGCTTGTTAGCTGGAGTTGTCGGCGTGGTAGCTGGCGTGGTCTTGATATGTATATTTTTCGGCATGGGTTTGCTTGGGATGGTGCCTTGTTGTTGCTGTGGGTGGTTGTGCTTTGTGATGTGTTTTGTAGCAGGTGGTGGGGTCTGCCCGCTTTGTGCGTTGTTGGTATGCGTTGGTGGTAGCGTCATTGTTGGTGAGTGCGATACCGTGTCAGAGTCTTGGTGCGTGTCCGTCGGGTTGTCGCATGTGTTCCATGGTGGTGGTAGCGTAGGGGCCAGTGGTTTGGGTGCAAGGGTCTGGAGTGTTGGCGATGGTAGCTTGGGCGGTGGCGGCTGGGTGTGCTGTGGGACGTCGGTGTTGGAGTCTGCTTCGCTGTCATCGTTATCGTTGTGGGCAGTCGTGGCATTGCGCCTGGCCGAAGTCGGGCTGTAAATTTGCTGTAGTAGAGCTGCTGTATCACGTATGTTGACCGCCCAGTCGTATTTCATGATGTCGTCTTCGTCGTGGCAGGCGTTGAGCCATTGGGCAACTTCTTGTATGTCCGCGATCTTGTTGGCGTTGAGTTGTGCTTATCCTCCCGTGAGTGGTGCCTGGAGGTGTTGGCTGGTCGTAGCGACTTGCAGTCGTAGGGCTAGATTGTCGCGGTAGTGTGCTGCGAATGCTTGCTGGTCGTTGCCGTAGCGTGTGAATGTGGGGTGTTTGGGTGGTTTGGGCATCGGCGGGTGCGTGTCTGCCTGATTGGCGTCTTTGAGCTTGAGTTTTTTGGTTGTTGTATTTGGTGGCGTAGTGCAGGTCGATAGTGGTGTAGCCCGGGAATCTGGTCGTAACGGCGGGTGTGGTAGGAGTTGCTTGCCGTCTTGGTGTACGAATAACTCGTTGTTGTACTTGTTGAGGTACCTGTGCCGGCCAGGGAGTAGGAGGCCGTCGTTCGGGAACCTGTACGTGTATGTGTTGGACGCTTCGTGGTAGTACATCGCGTAGTGCCAGCTGTCGTCTTCGTGGCCGTTCGTGTCCGTGTCGTTGGCGTAGCAGCAGTATGCTGTCCATCCGCTGGGGCAGTGCATGTCGTGGTACTTATTAGGTTTGAGCAACGTGAGGCAGAACTAGTGGGTGTCCGCAGCACCGCTCATCTTGGCTCATGGGTCGTTTTCGTCGAAGCTCTCGTCGGAATGCGTTGTGTCTTAGCATACCTCGATGTCGTCTCTCCATGGGTAATGTCTTTTGTCGGTACTGGTTTGTGTGGGCGGAGTTGGTATCTTGGCTGGGGTTGGTGGAATGTATTCGTAGCTGGTGTCGATCCTTCTCCTGTCAGGCTTGGCCTTCTTGTTCTTGAAGGTGAGATTGGGAATGGTTTGCTCTGGTGGTCGCATTCTCGTGTGTCCGTTGCATGTGTAACGCAGCTTCTCCGGGTGGTCGTAATGAGATTTGTCGATGTCGTATTTTTCTGCGAATTGTTGCTGTACAAATGCGTAGTGCGTGTCTTTGGTGGCAGGTCGGTTGGGAATCTGAATCCTCCTCTGGTTTTGATGTGCTTAGGTTGCTTGGGGGTGAATTGTGGTCCTTGCGGGTGTGTTGGGACCATGGATGGCTCGGGCTGGATGTAGTTTGGATTGCTGTCGTCGTGCGTGGTGTGGTTGTTG